GGGTGGGTGATGCAGGGGGTACCTGTGGTCAGTCCCAGGTGGATTTGGGGTGGGTGGTGCAGGAGGAAGTCTGTACCTGAGATCACTCCAGATGGCTTTGGGGTGGGTGATGCAGGGAGATGACTGTGGTCAGTCCCAGGTGGATTTGGGGTGGGTGGTGCAGGGAGATGACTGTGGTCAGTCCCAGGTGGATTTGGGGTGGGTGGTGCAGGAGGAAGTCTGTACCTGAGATCACTCCAGATGGATTTGGGGTGGGTGATGCAGGGGGTACTTGTGGTCAGTCCCAGCTAGATTTGGGGTGGGTGGTGCAGGGGGTACTTGTGGTCAGCCCTGTCTGGATTTGGGGTGGGTGGTGCAGGGGGATGTCTGTGGTCAGTCCCAGGTGGATTTGGGGTGGGTGGTGCAGGGGGTACCTGTGGCCAGCCCCAGGTCCTGCTGCCCCAACCTGTCCCCTGCCCCCCAAACCCTGCAGTGTCGCTGCTGAAGAACCTGAAGCACGCCAACATCGTGACCCTGCACGACATCATCCACACCGAGCGCTCCCTCACCCTCGTCTTCGAGTACCTGGTGGGTCTGGGGGGCTCTCTGGGAACGGGAGGACAGTGTGGGTGGGTGAGGGGGGCCAGGGGAAGGACAGCCTGACCTGTGCCTCCCACTGCAGGACAACGACCTCAAGCAGTACCTGGATAACTGTGGGAACCTGATGAGTGTGCACAACGTGAAGGTAAAGGGGGGTCCCCCCTGCCCCTGCATGTGGGGAGCTCACCCGGAGGCAGGGGAAGGCTGGAGACCCCTTCTCCCTTCAATTCAGCCCTGTTACTCCTCTTTGGCCTTTTTCAGCCTGTTCTGACACTCCACCAGCATTTCTCTGGTCACTGCCACCCTAAATAAAATCACTGTGCGTGCAGACCCGACTGACCCCCCTTTCTGTGTCTCTGAACCCTTCCCTAGAGCATGTCCCACCCCGGGCCAGCTTGGAGGGGTCTTTCCTGGCCATGAGTTTGGGATACCTCGAGGCAGGTTCATTTTTAGGGCCCGTGTCCTAAAAGTGCTGAGTGCAACCCCCTTCTCCTCCCCGCAGATCTTCATGTTCCAGCTGCTGCGGGGTCTGGCTTATTGCCACGGGAGGAAGATCCTGCACCGAGACCTCAAACCCCAGAACCTGCTCATCAACGAGAGGGGGGAGCTCAAACTGGCTGATTTTGGTAGGTGACCCTCTCCGGGGGTGATGCAGCGTTAGGAGGAGGTGCAGCTCCTCTGATGTCCGTCCCTTCCGTCCCCAGGACTCGCCAGGGCCAAGTCAGTGCCCACGAAAACATATTCCAACGAGGTGGTCACGCTGTGGTACCGCCCCCCCGACGTCCTGCTGGGATCCACGGAATATTCCACCCCCATCGACATGTGGTGAGTCACAGCCCCAAATGGGGCTCCCTGGGCTCTCTGGGGTGGTGGGTCAGGAATTTCCATCCCCATCCCCACGGTGTTGGTTATGCCAGAGGGTGGGGGGCTCTCCCAGAGCTGTTTTCCACGTCCCCTGGGGGTCGAGGTCTCCAGAACGTGCTGTCCCCATGGGGGTGAGAGGGGATTAGAAAGGACAGAGCTCCTGGAGGTCATTCCCTTGCTCCAGGAGCCTCATCCCTGGAAAAGTGGGGGGGGTTGCCCGCGGGGCTTGTCCCTCCCTAATCCCGGGGGTGTCTCCCGCGCTCCAGGGGCGTGGGGTGCATCCACTACGAGATGGTGACGGGGCGGCCCATGTTCCCCGGCTCCACGGTGAAGGAGGAGCTGCACCTCATCTTCAGGCTGCTGGGTGAGGGCTGCGCTGTGCCCGCGTCCCCACGCGAGGGCAGTGGCTGCCCGCGGGAGCGGCGGGAGCGGGCACGGCCGGGATG